AGCCAAGGCTCTGCAGTCAGTCCTAGCCAACACAGCTGTGATAGAACCAGCTTCTTGTTTGGGTGGGGAAGACAACTTTTGGAGGCCCTGTGCATAAATATTTTTTCTCTATCTAGTCCCTTGTTCTCCATATTTGACTAGAGAAGCCAAATGAGTTGGTATTTGTTGTTTTCTAAGTCTAGCATATGGCCTTGGGCACGTAAAAAGAAAGGTGCAGCTGTAGAGATTATTTATTTGGCACCTAAGTAGCAGAATCTAAGTTAGTCAAAGCTGTACTATCATCAAAGTCAGTAGAGTGGCCAAGTTTGCTGTGATCTGCCCATTTGCCAAAGCACCTGGCAGACTTACCTATGAGCTCATGGTCCCCACGGCAATTCTTCAACACAAACAGTAAACAAAGTGGTTGCTGTTTGGCTGCACCTCCTCCACTGCCAGATGCCATGCAGGTAGAGCATTCCCTGTGAAGGGACATTTAACTAGCAGCCCATTGGCTAGGTGTGTCTATTGCTTGAAAGGCAAGTGGCAAGTTCCTGCCACAGCACCAAAATCAGGGTCAAAGTCATGATACCTCAAACTGTCTTCTCATCTATAAAATGAAATAACATCTGTACTAAGTCATAAGGATGTTTAGAGGATCAAATGAAAACAATGTGAAAAGTTCTTTGTAAGCTGTGAAGTGACTGACATGTCAGCTATTATCTAGGGAGTCAAAAAGACCTAGGTTCATGTCCCACCTCGGACACATCACTTAATCTCTCTCTGTGCCTCAGTTTCCTCACCTGTACAATGAAGTACTCTAGGGTCCCTTCCAGTTCTAGATCTAAGAACTGGATCTAAGAACTTTATTATTATAGAAGGACCAATGATAACTCGAGACAAAGTCATTCTCATGACAAAAATCTCATCGCTGAATCACTTGGTAACAAATGTGAAATTTATTGCATATAGGACAAAGATCCCTTCTTGCCTCACCTTCCACTCTAGGCCAAGTGATTGCTGTTCGGAGCCTACTGAGCTATCCACTTAGGAAAGCTCCCTAGATATAGGGGAAGAGATTCTTTCCATTCACTGTGGGCTTGACCCTTCTAATAACCAAGGCTTACCCTCAGGCTATTTCTTGCTGAAAAAAGTCCAGAAGTGTTCTATTATATTAATGTCATTAGGGTCAGCTATTAATCAAGGAAGGCAATTGCTTGTTTTCTTCCCCCCTCCCATTTAAACTGGATTACAATTTCAAATAATCTGTACAGTATGGTAACAAATCTTGGAATTACCTCCATTGTGCTAGGAAAACACTGAAAATGGTATTTGCCAGTTCAACATGAAGCAAGCGTCTGTTTATTCTAGTGAAGGCCCTGGGTTTCTGTAGCTGTTACTCACAAATATTATAGGAACAGAAGTGCCAGAGTTATGAAACAGATTCAAGTCTAAAAGCCAACTGAGAAAAAGTTTCCAGGCAACATCTTCAACTAGAGGGAAAAAACTAAACTATAAGAGGCTTCTAGTTGATGCTGAATTTGGGTTATGTAAGGGGATAGGGAACTAAGGTCACATGGGGAAAAAGCAGCCCACTAATAATGTTCTCATGTTAGGAAACACTAATGCCAACCCTGTGGCTAAAGAGAAAATTTAGTCCCTAACTCCAGAGCCCATTAAAACTACATAATTTCAGTTTTATGAGGCAGAGATGGAGCACCATACAGGAAAGACAGTATTTAGGGGAGGGCAGGATCTGAACTGAGTAGATAGGCAACACTCCTCTCCCCCTTCATCCCCCCCCCCCAAAAAAACTGGAGGAACTCAGCTGTTCCATATTAACAGTCCAACAAAGGAAACGCCATTTGCTTTTCCCTGTCTGGACCACTAGTGTCAAACTCAAACAGAAATGGGGGCCACTAATCTGTACATAAGGATCCCTGCAGGAAGCATATTGACTTAGTTTTAAAATATAATGTTTTCTATATTTTATTGTATTTTTATTTTGTTAACTATTTCCCAATTACATTTTAATCTGGTTTGGGCCAAGTCTGGCCTCCGATCCAAAAAAAGAAACATATACCTTCCACCAAGACTATAGAGTTCCAAGAATGACACTCTATATAGCCACCACCCACTAGAGGTGACCAAGGCAACTATACATGGCTAGCCAGGGTGATGACACTTAAGAGCAATTTCATTCATTGTAAAGGAACCAGAGTCCAAAAGGACCCCCCATAAACAGGACTATTTTTCTTAAGTATATGAACTGCTACCTCTCCCACAATAGTCTAAAAATCATGGTACTGAGTCGATCCTGGGTTTTCACCCTAAAATGATTGCTTCTAGATTAGCCACAGGGAGATGAATTTTCCACTCAGAACAATTCTCTAAGCCTACTGACCAATTCAGAGAGGGGTGCAATCCAGCAATGGGACAAAAGAAAACAGAAAGAAGAAAATGGAATAAAACGGAATCTGTAGTCAAAAGATGTGAATTTTGATAAAAATCATTTTACCTGAGTTTTGGTTTCCTCTGTAAAATGAGGGAGCAGAACTAGGCAACCTCTAAGGTCCTTTCCCACTCTAAATCTATGACCTTTGGGAAGACCAACACACTCAAAGCCACAGATCCTTGAAGTTAGAAGGATTTAACAGCTGCTAGCCATTCCCCTCCTTCCCCCACAGGCTCCTTTTTTTTTGTAAGCCCAGAATTCAAAACACAACTTTACTGTTTGTTCTGCATTAATGGCAATGATCAAGTAAACAAATTTATTAAATTCAACAGCAGGTAACCTTCAAATAAAATACATTTAAGGGGAAAAATAGTGTAGACACCAAAGACAAAATGTGTAACAAGGTAACAAACATATTAAAAAGGGGCCATTTGAAGAGTGCAACAATGCAGAAAACACAAAAGGTAGCTTTTCAACAGTTTATACAACCTTGAAGTAAAGGATACATTTATCAAAAAACCATTAAAAATACATAAAGGTGGAGGATTACAACATTAGTGATAAACTAATTAACCCAACAGATTAAGGCAAGTTGTTTGCAGGACTAATCCGTCCAAGCCCTGTTGCCTATTGCTTCAAATTTCCCTTCGACACAAAACTGTGCCCATTAGTGCAACAGGTTAAGAAGTGAGTGACCATATAGACCCAAGGGATTTGTGTGGCAGGGCAGAGATGGGTAAGACAGCAATGGCTTTGGGAAGGAATTTCTCAAAAAAATAAAAATCATGTATTTATCAGGAATGAACAGCAACTGCAAAGTAGCATCCTTTGGAAATTTCCAAGATTTGTGGGGATTTTTCTTTTCTGATGAGTTTTATCTTTTCTTCTGTAGGAGGGGAGTAAGGGGGCAAGAATATCATCTATGGAATGTACAGTAGGCTTCAGAGAAGCAGAGGCAGGCCTGTAAAAAGACCATGATAGTTCAGCATCTGGATCAGAAACAGGACCCAAGGGTTACCTCAATCCTGTTCACACCTTTCTGCAACAACTGGTGCTCCAATATCAGGTTTTGTTCCAAACACTCAAAGCAAAAGCTGCCAATTCCTCAAAGAAAGGCAGCCCTGGAGGTCAAGCCAACTTGAGACCCACTGACTGAATGCTCCAATTACAGCATAACAAGGAAGATACATCATGGGAAAGCTTCTATAGAGTCCACAAACAAGATGGATAAAAATGAGTAATCCTTTGTTGGGATCAGATGGATTTAGATGAACATATTTCAGCAGTCTAGTCTCATCATCCTTCTCAGTCAAGACAGGGGAAGGCCTATGTCAGGTACTGACAGTCTAATTCAAAACAATACTGCCAGTTATAAAAGAAATAGGACAAACAGCAAAGCAAATAATGGATCAAAAATCAGCTCCCAGCCTTTATCTTACATTTGGGTCTACCTTTGTGTTGTCCTCTACTCCTCCACCCAACAATGAGGCCATGGATCTATGCACCCAACTTTTAAATATGGCAAATCAGTGACACTGCTCTTCTCCAGGATACAAGGATCTGTCTTGTTTTCAAGCAAGGAGCTTTCAGGGTTGGTCACCACTCCCAGTAGATATTTTTGCCATTAACTAAAATGCACTATAAAATTTTCAACTTCAGAGTCAGCTGTTTTTTCCAGGAAAACTGGATATACAACATAAGGCTGTGAAAACAAATCAACCAGACCTCACTCCTACCAGCACCTTGTACCCAGGAACAAATTTTGGCACCACCACCTGGGACAGGTCAGCAACATTTCAGAGATAGCCTAATACTGCACAGTTGTACCCTTCCTTTTTAAAGGAGGTTAGAGTATCCCTCTCCTAAGTAAGCATAACACTGAAAATACCAACACATCTCAATGAGATTTTTCTGGGTCAAGGTTATGTTGCACATTTGTATTTCCACTTAATTCCAATTTGTTTCTAACACAAGCATTTCACCTTCCAATCACTAATGGTTAAAACATATTCCTTTATCAGAATTAGTAGGTGTGGATGTCTGGTCTCAAGTCACATAAGTGGGCACAACTATCACGAATAAGGTGGGAAGGCCAGGCTGCTTGGCCTAAAATGAGTAGTATTTTATTACCCAGGTGGCAATGTATTCCGATTGTGTCCCACTTCTTCAGGACAAAAGATAAAGAATAATCAATGCCAAAGCTTCCTCTTATTCTAGTGTCCTAGTAAACTAAGGAAACACTAGCTCATAAGCAATTTGCCAAAAGCAAGTTCCCAACATGTATTAATTTGTTGTAATTAGCCACACTCAAAAGTTCCTAAGGGTTTCCAAAATACCATGATCTTACATCAACTTCTGGCTGTGGCTGTTAAAGTAAAAGGTATCTCAGTGTTTGCAGCACCCCAAAGCTGTGCATATACACACTCTCTATATTTTTTTACTTATTCCACAGAAACAACTCAGCCATTATACAAGCTCATTTTCATGTTAGAGTTAATAGTAATGAACTTTTCATTTCCAAGAAGCACGAACAACAAACCCACACCTCCAAGAAGAAGGGATGTTAACATCAAAGCCTATGCTTAACTTTATTCATGACCACAATCAATCCAGAGCTATTACAGACACATCTTAACTCCTTGCTGTACAACAGGGACACAAAATGGGGAGGTAGGAACAGCACGTACTTGACTTAACACTCCATTTTCTGGCTCATTTGCAATCTGAACTGCTTTTGTGTTACATTTTTATAACGAATGGTTCATTAAAAATATTTTTTTAAATGGCTCCTCTGAAAAAAACTTATTTTTATTTAAAATAAACAAAAACCAAACCCATATTACAGTACATCTATACGGAATGCCTTCTTTTTAGGCTAGGAAAGGAATTCAGCCCCTCTAAGATCTAGAGGATTTTTATGGCTTCCCTCACCCCCTTTTCAACTGGACTGCTGCTTATGGGATGTGATGAGCTCTGCTCCCCTAGAAGCAACCGTGTCTGCCTGCCCAAACAATGCCTGAGATTTCGCTTCAAGAATGAGGGACTGTAAAACAAGCTGAAATGAGAAGAGCCCTCTGGTCTTCACTCTAGTATTTTCAGGCAAAGGAAGTACTTTTTCAGTTTTAAAACTGCAATTAAACCTGCTGGGGCAACCGAAGGCCTTCAGTGAAGCTGGCCTCAGCTAAGCAGCCACAAGGCTTAGCTGTGGCTAATCCAGGGAAATCAGCCAAATACCCTTCAGTCTTACCGTAGTACTCCAATATCATCTATTTACTTTGTGGTAGTTTTAAAATGTAGATTTTTTTTCCTCTTTTTTTTTTTTTAAAGGAAAACTCGTCAAGTTCAGGGCTTTAAAAAGTTTCAATACAAAATGGGTTTAAGTTCAATAGAAAAACATTCACTGCAGAAACTCCACAAAACATCATTCCTGCAAAGATGTAAGTTCAAGCTCTCTAGTAAAGGAGGCAAGAGCTAGAAATGACCAGACCATGCCCAAACCAAAGGATGTGCAGCACATGGGCAGAAAGTGGGCTTAAATATTAAGAAACAAATTTTACTATAAAAGGGCATAAAAAAGTTTTCACTTGACAGATTCTCTTTTGAGTAAGTTCAAAAGCATCAGAAGCAGATTTGTACACTGTTGTTAAGTCCCCGGTGCCATCCTCTCTTCCTTACCAAACTAATTTATTAAAACCAAAATTTAACAGATGATCCCTTCACTGGGATTAGGTTTGGACAAGAAACCAGCTCCTCATGGTCCAGTCTGGGAGATCAGTCACCCTAAAGTGTATCCAAATATATCATAAAGATCAACCAGTACTATGTTCTGGGCAAGGAAAAAGCTACAAGAACCCATCCCCTCTTTTATGAAAATGGTCCAGATTCTGATTCCAGAATTCAAAGGCTCCATCAACAGGCTTTGAAAAGCCTCCTTCATTCCATACTCCCACCTCCCCCTACTCACTGCACCCTAAAGGCTGCTTCCCTTTTACAAACCAGTTTAAACAGGCAATGAACCTAAGAAATTCAGAGGAGAGGGAGGGAAATTTATGTAAACCTAAACAGTCATCACATCACCCCAAATGAGCCAGACATTAAAAAAAAGATAATAAATAACTCACTGGGTCAGGTGACAACATTGCTGCAGCAAGAAGGGAGAGGGCATAAGAGTTTAACCATTAAACACACTTTCAAACATTTGTTTGGCAGCATTGAGGCCAGCCCAGGCTTCCTGCACTTGCCAGACAAGTAAGCTGATGATACTTGAGAGATCAAAATAAAATTCAAGCAGAGCTCCATACCACAGTTTTCCTTCAAGTTAGTTGGCCAGTGGGCATGGAGTTTGCCAACCATGGGGAACAGAACCTTTGGCTCCGAGTCAAATAAAAATAAAGTATTTCCACTTAGAACATGAAAATACAGCAACTTCATCAAAGACAGAAAACTATCAAAGAGGTCTACTTCCAGCAAAACTGAGGTAGCACTGCTTTCTCTGCATTTGATGCTTAAGTGGTTTTCAGTACAATGTATTAGAAACCGCTCACTTGAATGACAGGCACAGCATGTCGATGAATAAACTATGTAATGCAATGGGTGAAGGAAGGAATGAACAGGAAGAAAATATTAGGGTTTCTAATGAATTAGCTTAAAATAGGATTTCACCAGACTTCAAATTTTTTCCTTTGTTTTCAGAACTTCAAATTGTCTGGGAATTAACCCAAAGTGGTTAACAGTTAACACTGCTATTCAACTCTGTGTAAATCTTGTAAAATAATTATTACAACCTAAATTCAACCATGTAAACAGCACTACACACAGTACAGACCTGCCCTGAAAAATGTAGTATGCAAAACTGAGATCTGGCACTGTATCATTTTGTAATGTTAATTCAACCTAACCCTCCCCACCCCTCAAAAAATCTAAATTGTGCAAGAAATGGCAGACTCACTCTATCTGAAGGCTTTAAAAAAATTACACATGTAGCCAGGGTCAAATATTTCAGGGCCAAAAAAAAAATGTTTAAAAAGAATAACTAAAAATGAAGAAAGTGCCTAAAACATGATACAGCATTTTAGAGCCCTTTCAAATACAAGGCAGAGAAAGGTGTAAAGTAGAAAATATCCGGATCCTCAGTAATTTCCAGAAAGTTCCAAGTTCTCCACTGGCTGAAGGACAATATACAGCAGGTGGTTCTGTCACAGCTGCTCACACATACTGGTAAGTCTGCTCCTCTTGACACAGGCTCTCTGTGTCTGAAGTTGTCAGACATTTTGATTCCTCTCCCTTTTTCCTTCGCTCCATCTCCCATTCCACAAAGGTATCAAAGAGACTAGGCCAGGCCTCATCTTCACTGTAGTTACTGAGGTCGGGTCCGATCACCTGAGTAAAGTTTAGGAACATGTTCCATGTGTCCCGGGAGATTCCCTTGACTCCCGAGGGATTTTCTGTTAAGAAGTGTAACCACTGGTCCAATACAGGGGGGTTGTTTTGGGTAAAGACCAGCTTCCAAAGGGCAATGGCTATTTCCCGATGCAGTGACCTCTGCCCTTCTTCAGAGTCCAGGCCAAACTGAAATGTAAAGCGGTAGAGATCCTTGAACTTATCCTCTTGTTTGGCTTCATTTAAGAGACTGGGGAACCGAGCACAAATCCCATCAATGCTGTCTGCACTTATGGCTTTGCAGCCCTCAAAAAACTCCTTCCTATAAAGGGAAGTAGAAGAAAAGCATCATCAAAACATATTCAGATTTTCCATTAAAGAATCAATTCAAGACAGAGTTCAATTTAATACAATAAGTATTTATTAAGCAAGACAGGATGGGCATACAAAATCCAAACAACACAGTCCCTGCCCTCCACATTAGGCAGAAACAATATATACATAGATAATAAGCAAATACAAATTATATACAAAACAAATATAAAGTAATGGGGAAGGAGGTAGAAAAAATTAACAACTGGAGGCATCAAGAAAACTAAACACTGAATTACAGGTTTCTGCAAAGCAGAAGTGAGAAAGTAATGCATTCCCAAAGTGGAGGTCAGTCTGACAAAGATGGGAGATAGAATACTGTGTATGAGGAGTATCAAGTGAGTCAGTTGGTTTGGAATATAATGTGCTTGAGAGGGAGTAACATGAAATCAGCCTGGAAAGACAGGTTGGAGCCAGATAGGGAAGGGCTTTAAGTGGCAAACAGAAGCATTTTTACTTCATCTTAGAGACAATGAATTGCTGAAGATTCTTCTGCAGGGGAATGACATGGTCACACCTGCATTTTTAAGATCAATTTAGCAGCTGTGTGGAGGATGAATTGCAGAAAGGACAAAGTGAAGGTAGGAAGATAAATTAGGAGGGTATTGCGTAGTTCAGGCAAGAAGTCATTAAGGGCTATGATTCTTGAAAAGAAGGACTATTATTTGCTTTTTTTGAATCACCAATGCTTTAGCACAAGGCCTGATACATATAGGTGTATCAAAGATGCACTCACTGACTAGCTAATTTAAGGCAGTGGCTGTGTGAATAGACAGAAAAGGACGTATATGAGAGATTTTGTAAAGGTAACATCAATAGGTTTTGTCAACTGACTAGATATGGGGATTGAGGGAGAGTGAAGAGCAAAGTTTCAAACCTGGGTGACATGGACAGTGGCATTCTTAACATAAATAGGAAAGTTAAAATACAGTGAAATGTCTGGAGATCAGAAGAAGATAAAGGCTACTTATGTAGACTCAGGGGTTATCTGAATGGACATGCTAACTATTCAAGGCTAACTAAGATAGAAGCCTGAGGTCCACTGAAGCAAATGGGAGAGTACATGGATGATGTTTTGGCTAAAGAAACTAGGAAGAAAAGTCAGATAGGTAGTGGGTTTCCATCACAAGGAGATGGTCAGAAGAGCCACAATGACCAAGATCTTGTTTGCTGGGTGCTTGCTCCCTGGCAATCCAAAGACCAATTAATTCAGGGCCTCTGATGTGAAAAGGAATGACTCTGCATTTTCATTTAGATCCCCTAAAGGAGTAGGTATGGAATTAGTATTGTGAGTGAAGTCCTTCAGTACACTTTAGTACAGGGAGGTACACTCTCTGAACAGTCTCATATCCCATGGGAATATCACAAACAGGAGAGCACGGCAAGAACTACTATGGATATCCTGGGGATAGAGAGTGTCGTTCTGCAGTTACCACCACCAGTGAAAGCTCTCAGGAGAAATAATCTCCAGAACTAGAGAATAATACACAGCCATTCACCCTTTGAGTAACTACAAATAAATCACTCATTCTTAGATCATAGATTTAAGAGCTAAAAGAGACCTTAGTCCAGGGACCTTGTCATCTAGTTTGAGGGAAGTAGGAAATGACAGGAAGAAAGGGAATGAGGGAGGTTTATTAAGTACCTATTATGTGCCAGGCACTGTACTAAGAACTTTATAATTATTATCTCATTTAATCCTCACAATAACTTTGAGAGATAGGTGCTATTATTACTCTCATTTTACAGTTAAGAGATCTGCCATGGGACACACAGCTAATAAGTGTCTGAGGCCAGATTTGAATTCCAGTCCTCACGTCTCCAGGCCCAGCACTCTATCTACTGCACCATCTAGCTGCACAGATGATATAGTTATTTCCACTAACTGCTCACAATTAGAGAACACTAAATAAAAATTGTGTCAGTTGAGAAAAATACCAGCACAGAACTGAGCACCATTCCATCTTTGCAGACCTGTGAGAAATTAGACTCTGCTGGCTTAATCTTTGAGAATCTCTATCTGAGGCACTTATGAATTATCAAACTTTAAAGGGTAAGATGCATGTATCTGCTTTGGAGAGAACAGCATGAGTTTATAAATCTTCACTCCTAAGTCTCTTATCAATTTCAGGAAATCACTGAGATAAAATGGTAAAATGACTTACCCATGACCCTATGGCCAGGAAGTAAAGAACCAAATTTGAATCCAGATCTCTCCCATCCCATTCCAGTTCTTTCTTCTGCCTCTCTACAGCTGCTCCCTTTAGACCCTCCTCTCACCCTCCCCACCCTGTACCCCAAATATAAAGTACTTCTAACTAACCTTGTGAACTTGCACATGGTAGCAGCCTGGAATTTCCAAGCCAAGACCAGCACTTTAAATTCTGTGGGATCAACACACAGATCATTACAGAAGCGTTCCATGCCTTCCTCCAAAATCGCCTCTTCCCGCTCATCCTTATAACGCCTAAATAGTTCCTCCATCCTCTGTAGGGAGGACTCCTCAGTGTTGGACTCCAGATCCCTCCTGGCATCTCCAGATGATGTTGAAAACTGACAAGACTCTGAGGCTGCCTCTGCCTTCTTGGTCCCATTGACAAGGATGTCACCACCAGGCTTCCCACAAGTTGGTGCATGGTCATCTCGGTGGCTCCCGCTGCGCTTACTGTGGGATTTGCCACTGGGATCCCGATCTCCATTTTTACTGCCTAACGTAGATGATGGATTCTTGCATTTGGTGACACACTGGCCCATGGTGCAGGTGGCCCAGCCTTTAGAGCGGCCCCCTTCTGATTGGACAGCCTCTCTGATGCTGGCCAGCTTGCCTCAACATTCCATCGACAGGAAACAAACCACCTGGAAACAATTTGAAGAGTCAGTTGTCTCTATGTACGGGAAAAACGGCACAAAATCTGAAAGACATGTAGTATTCTAAGGACCATCCCACATGGAATCTCAATTGGTATTGTTCTTCCTCAACAAGCTAATAAGCAACTAAATGAAATACTGTTTATACCAGTTACCACATCTATTTGCAGGCCAGCTTTGCCGCTTTACCTTGTAAATGTAGTTCTCTCAGTGGCTACAGTATACCAGAAGAACTAATAAAGGAAATTCCTAAAATTCTTACTGTAACATAGGTTACAAAGAGGTTGATTCACGTGTAGAATTCATCAAGGAAGTCTACTCCAAATTTAATGTGCCTGCAGAGTAACAAAAAGTCCAAAAGATTTCAACTATAAGGATTATCTTATAGGCTCTTTAAATATTCTGTATTTCTTTCTTTTGGGAGGGGGTAGGAAGAAGGAAGAAAAAGGAACTGTCTACAGTGATACAGAATATGGCTATTTATAAGTTCAGACAGGTGAGATCATCATGTTCATTGACATGAAGTCCCTGCCAGGCACTTCAGGCATATTTGCTTTTTTTTAAAGGGGTACTAGCTAATCCATGTGTATCTCCAACTGGCAAGACCTGTGAGAGAGGGGCAATTTCTCTATGCTCCTAGCCTACTCTGTCAAGAATGGGTACCAGTAATTGATACACCCCACTTCTGAAAAGGTACCAACCTCTGTGCTAAATGCAGCCACTCAAAACATCACTTTCAGAATGCCATGTCTAGAACTTGCTCTTTTAAACTGGCCAGGGAACAAACAGGTACCTGGTGAAAAAGGAGGAAGTCCATTTAATTAGAGCTAAATTAGCATCTAAATTAGCTCAATCTTCCTCCAGGGTCAAAATGACTGCACTATTCCTAAGAAAAAGCTCAAGGAGGATTCTAGTTGCCCTCAACTTCAACATGATTCAAAAAAGGAAAACCTACTTTCTGCACAAGATTATAACTTCATTATTTCCTGAAAAGACAGTCTCCTCAAGAAGCGGCTGGATAAACACAGCTTTATTTGTATTCCTTGTGGATAGCTTTCTTAAATACAAAATAAGTTTAAAATAAAGACTAGAATAACTTTTTCCAAGTTAATCACATCTAGGTGTCTCCTCCATCCTCCTGCTGTGAAATTATAAGATCAGAAATATGGCTATACATGTCTTCTACCAGATGACTGAAAGGGTTCTATCTTTCCTAGGCTTCTGAAGTCAGAGTAAAAAACTAAGTCATTTTTCAGTGTAGAAAGCCTTGTTTTTGTGGGGTGGAGGCATGGGAAGAAGGTAGTTAAGTACAGCATACAAACACTATTAGATTGGAAACTGAGTAGTTTTGAAATCTGAGGTTGTTTAGTGGGAGCATATATCACACATGGGAGGCAACTGGTAGATCTGCCTTGTCAACTCAAAACACAAGAGATTAGACCATGTGGAGGGTCTGGTTGCCAGATTTGTGTTTCCAAAGACTGGAGTATTGCTGAAAGAAACAAAAGGAGTAAACTTACACAAATCCCACATGCTCACAAACTGACAACTCTAATTTCCAAGCCCTCTGACTCACCAGCATATACTGCTCTCTTCCTGCTACTGCAGCTAAGCTTGTAGCACCCAAGAAGGGGTTTCCTGCCTTTATTTAATACACCCTAGGTCCCAATTTTCTCATCTGGGTCAGAAACCTTATCTACTTCCTCAAAACCCTGCCATCAGACAAAAAATACGGATTTCAGGTGGGGACTGAGCAAAATGGGCTCCAAAAATCCCCTAATCTTAACTGACCCAAAGGGCCTTGTATAAAAGCACCTTAGCTATGCAGCCCACTGCAGTGGAACCACCAGAAACCTGGAAACCTTTCAGTTTGTCCAAAAAGATGGGGGGGAGGATCAATATAGTTAAATGCTGGTCAATTTGCTTATTTCAGAAAAAGCACACCAATAACTCCCATCTAGTTGGCTCTCAGATGACAGTCAAGCTTTCATTTCTCTCCAGCTGTTCTACTTTGGGACTTCTCTAACTTTTCCACCATGTCCCAAGCTGCTTATTATTGGGAAAAACTCTCTGGCATCCCACACCTCATCATTACCTTCGGTCTCTAATGTTGGAGGGTGGAGGTTACTCAGAACATCTTCTCATTTCTCCTGTGGCTGCCCTATTTGGAACTTCTCCACTCTCCCCCACCTCCTTTCAGCTTCCTTGTGTGTGTGTTATCTTCCCCAATTAGATCATAAGCTCGTTGAGGGAAGGGACTGGCTTTCTTTTTTTGTATTTGTACTCCCAGCTTAAACAGTGCCTGGAACATAGTAGACACTTAATAAATGTTCGACTGATTGACCAGGCCTTAACTGGAAGCATTACCAAGTTCTGCCTTTTCTTTTAAATGAAAAGTAACATAGTCCAGAAAGATTTCATTAAACTACATTAGTATAAATAAAGATACCTTTATTCTAGACCGGGTTCCACTCACTAGGAGCATGATATTGGGCAAGTCACTTTACTTTTGTAAATCTCAATTTCCTCACCTGTAAAATGGGAATAATACCTTCCTGTCTACTATACAGAACTGTTGGCAAAAATCAAAGGAGATAATGTTAGAATGTTTTGTATACTATAAAGTAATGTATAATTGTAACATAAATTTGCAGCACTTGTTATTTTAATGTCCCCAGGTCATTTAATCTACAAATACCATTTGTATTGTCTGAAATAGAACACTACAATCACGAAGGTAGCTTAGTCATTTAATTACATAAAAAGAGTCCATGAGGATGGGGTTTTTTTGGTTGTACCTCTACCCCATTATCAGGTGGGGGGGGCACAGAAGAAAAAAAAAAACAAAACAGAAGATGAATGGGGACAGGGAAAGAGCCAGACTGGGATAAAGAGGGAGGAAAGAGGAAAGAGTTAAGATGAGAAAGGGAAAGAAAGAGCAATAGACACACTGCCCTCTGTAACAGAAAGCCATGGTGGCTAAGCTAGACCACCTACGACTAAGTGAGATAGTCTCTATTCTTATTTAATGTCTTCCAAGAAAATATCAAAAAGGTTCTTTTGATGCATCAAAAAATATATACCAAGAGTAACAGCCTGAATTATCCAACCCAAAGTATAGCAGCTAAATAAAGGAGACTGGACAGTCGAGTAAGGACTAGGCCTATACCACAAAGCATATTTTTCCAAAACAGATATAATACATCGCTTAGAAGGGAACCTTGCTCAGCAAAAGGCAGCTAGGTGGCACAGTGAATAGAGTTCAGGGCCTGAAGTCAGAAAGACTCATCTTCCTGAGTCCAAATCTGGCCTCAGACACTTACTAGCTGTGTGATCTTGAGCAGCTCACTTCACCCTATTTCCCTCAGTTTCATCATCTATAAAATGAGCTGGAGAAGGAAATGGCAAACCACTACAGTATCTCTGCCAAGAAAACCCTATGTCGGGTCATGAAGAGTCAGACACAACTGAAAACTACTTAATAAAAACAAAACTACTTAGTAAGTGCCTAACAAAGAATGAAAGTATTATCACTTCTAATATAGCACTCTATCCCACAAATAACAAGTTTAGGAGGTAGGAAACTTTTCCATACTTGCAAATCCACGATCTCTAGATTTCTCTTCTTTTACAACATTTCTCCATTCAATACCCTCTTGCTCTCTCCTCCCACAGTTATCATGTTCCCAACACATAGACCCTGAGTACATATTAGGCACCAAGGCCACTTTAATAAATACCACCTTCTAATCCCACAGTATTATCTTATTTATGTATCTATAACTACATATCTCTCTATATATGTATATCTATTATCTATATATACCTATACAGATATCTATTTCTATCTATAGCTATCTATCAGCCAATAAAGACAGATAAAAGAGAAAGAGGCATAAAATCCTGTTGCATAGCTAGGAAACAGTCCCATTTTATAAATAAACTTAGACATAAAGAGATTACATAAATTCCCTGAGGTCACAGAGCTAAATTCTAGAAGCTACATCTCCTGACTTCTAATCCAGTGCTCTTTGCAGAGCAGCAAACTCAAATTCCCCCAATACTATGGAGAAAAAGGCCTGGCAATCCCTTCTCATTCTATTAAGCCTCTGCACCAAGCTCACATCCCTTTTCCCTTTAGCTTCCGAGCCCAAGCTGCACCAATCAGCTGGATCATTATGTGGCTTTCTAAAACGGAAAAAAAAAAACCGGTATATTCAGCATACTTTGGAACCAGTGGCATATTCTAACAAGAAAAGTGGAGGAGCAGATAGGGATAAGTTGAAAGAAAAAACTTGTAAACAATTTCTATTATAGGTTATTGTTTAATTACATATTTGAAAACATAGTCTGGTGTAATAGAGTCAGCCTCAGAGCCAGGAAGTATGTGTGTTCAGTTGTTTTTAGTCATGTCTTTGTGACCCCATTTGGGGTTTTCTTGTCAAAGATAGTGGAGTGGTTTGCTTGAGCTAACAGGGTAAAGTGACTTGCCCAGGGTCACACAACTAGTAAGTATCTGAGGCCAGATCAGAACTCAGGAAGATGAGTCTTCCTGATTCCTGGCCCAGCATTCTATTCACTACACCACCTAACTGCTCTAGAGGCTCTGGGCTCAAGTTTCATCTCTGAGACATTCTGGCTATGAGAACCTGGGCAAGGTATTTAAATTTCTTAAATGTTCGAGACAACTCTAAAACTACAAAATTTCAGAGAAAGTGCTGACCTGCACTGGGTAGAAGATGGCTCACCGAAGAGCTCCCTAATCTAATAAATTCACAGGTCCAGTCTCCATCACCCTTACCTGAAGGACTAGAGACTCTTGGTGACATACAGGTGAAGGTCAAACTACTTTCTCTCCTACAACTTCTACTTCAACCCCAACTCAAGTTCTTCCCCCTTTCTCTCTTCTCTCACATCTCCTACCCATTGCCCTACTGACAGTGGTGACAGCTCCTAGGGAAACGACTGGCAAGCTTTTTGAAGCTAAGGTAGAAGGGTAGCCTGGCTATCAATGAACTCTTGTGTCCAGAGCTTTCTAACCTCTCCGATTTCTTCAAACAATTATGCCATGTCCCAATCAGCATATAGCATTTGGTTTTCCAACACAGTGGGGGAGAGGGGTTTGAGGATGGCATCTGAAGTCACAACTCTCTGGAGTTCCAAACTTTATGTTCCTTAAAGAGCAGCTGGTATCTCATAAACCTGTCTCTTGACCAAACCTATCAGAGTGTAGCAAAAGCTTTTTTTAAGGAGAGAAAAAAGCTGCCCTAATCAAATCTAAATAGTAGCTGATAGCACGGAAGCCTTACTTTCCCAATCATGTTTGATCTCTGCAGGGACAGCAGAAGAGCAGCATATGGGCTTGCCTCTGAAGTCAGATAGGTCAGGGTGCTAGTTTTGTGTTATGCTGTTCTGGCTGCTGATTGGTAATATGTCACCCAAGAAATAACTTTCTGAGACAAGGAACTAAGAAACTGGAGAATCCAATATGCCAGCAAGGCATATAAGACCTATTTCCTATCTATTATTTTGTTAAAAAGAGGCAAAGATGTGAGTAGTTGTTTTGGTTGACTATGCATATGTTACAAGGGCTTCAGTTTTCATTTTTTTTCCAAAGGGGGTGGGAGGGAGGTGGAAGGGAAGTGAGAAAAATAAAACAAATGCTTATTAATTGAAAAAAACTTTTAAAGACAACCACAAATCCACTCCCCTGAACCCCACAACTTTCTCTTATAGCTCTAGCTCTCATTATAAAATGTACTCACCACCAATCAATTTCATGTTAAGTAACAA